TCTGTGATTCTGTGATTCTGTGATGCTGTCTCCTGTGGTAGTTGTCATCCTGCAAGCTGGTTTCCTTGGGCTCATCTCCTTTCTGCAGGTGGTGATATTGAGGTAGTTGTGGAGAAAAACTGACTTTCAGAGGCGTTTTGTCCTCATTTTGTTTGTCCAGTAGCTTATCTTTGAAAATCAACTGTCCAGTTAAGGTTTAGTATTTGTCCTTAAGATCTGTGGACTTTGGTGCTGAGTCCTGTATGTCTGCTTCTCGCCGTGTGGGCAAAACTTGAGCAGCGTTAGTGCCAGAAGCTTGGCTTGTGCTTGGAACTGAACACTGAAGAGACAGCAAGTAGCGAGGCCCCTTTTTTAGTGCCACAACTGTCTAGCTCACAGGCTGACAGTGTTGGGACTAGCAGTGGGATTTGACCTGGAGGGGTGACCTGCTGAGAAGGCCTCTCTAGGTCGCATCTCCACCTCTTCGATGTAGTCACTCTCGCACCAATAGGATCATAGAATCATAGAATGGCCTGGGTTGAAAAGGACCTTTAAAGATAATCTAATTTCAACCCCCCTGCTGTGGGTAGGGTTGCCAACCACTAGAGCAGGCTGCCCAGGGCCCCATCCACACTGGTCTTGAATCCCAGGGCCCCATCCAGCCTGGTCTTGAATGCCTCCACAGCTTCTCTGGGCAACCTTTTCCAGTGCCTCACCACCCTCTGAGTGAAAAATTTCCACCTAATATCCAACCTAAATCTCCCCTCTCTTAGTTTAAAACCATTCCCCCCGGTCCCATCACTATCAACCCCTGTAAACAGGCGTTCTCCCTCCTGTTATAGGCTCCCTTCAAGTACTGGAAGGCCACAGTGAGGTCTCCCTGGAGCCTTCTCTTCTCCAAGCTAAACAAGCCCAGTTCCCTCAACCTTTCCTCAGAGGAGAGGTGCTCCAGCCCTCTGATCATCTTTGTGGCCCTCACCAGGACCCATTCCAAGAGCTCCACATCTTTCTTGTGCTAGGGACCCCAGGCCTGGACACAGTACTCCAGATGGGGTCTCACAAGAGCAGAGCAGAGGGGGACAATCACCTCCCTCTCCCTGCTGGTCACCCCTTTTTTAATGCAGCCCAGGACATAGTTGGCCTTCCATAGCTGGCTCATGTCCAGCTTCTCATCCACTAGGACCCCCAAGTCCTTCTCCGCAGGGTTGCTCTCAAGGAGTTCTTCTCCCAGTCTGTATGACTCCCTGGGATTGCCCCGGCCCAAGTGCAACACCTTGCACTTGGCCTTGTTGAACCCCATTAGGTTCTCATGGGCCCACTTCTCCAGCCTGTCCAGGTCCCTCTGGATGGCATCCCTTCCCTCTATGGTGTCAACTGCACAACTCAGCTTGGTGTCGTCTGCAAATTTGCTGAGGGTGCACTTGATTCACTCATCTATGTCATTGATAAAGATGTTGAAGAGCACCGGTCCCAAGACAGACCCTTGAGGGACATCACTTTTCACTGGCCTCCACCCAGACATAGAGTTGTTGACCACAGCCCTTTGGCTGCAACCAGCCAACCAATTCTTTATCCGTTGAACAGTCCATCTTTCAAATCTGTACCTCTCCAATTTAGAGAGAAGGCTGTGGTGAGGGACCATGTCAAAGGCTTTGCACAAGTCCAGGTAAATTACATCCATCACCCTTTCTTTGTCCAACAATGCCATCACTCCGTCATAGAAGGCCACCAGATTGGTCAGGCAAGATCTGCCTTTGGTGAAGCCATGCTGGCTGTCTCAGATCACCTCTTGGTCTCGTGCGTGTCTTAACATGGCTTTGAGGAGTATCTGCTCCATGATCTTCCCAGGCACAGAGGTGAGGCTCACTGTCCTGTAGTTCCTTGGGTCTTCTTTTCTCCCTTTCTTAAAAATAGGAGTAATGTTTCCCTTTTTCCAGTCACCAGGGACTTCACCTGACAGCCATGATTTTTCAAATATGATGGAGAGCGGCTTGGCAACCACATCAGCGAGCTCTTTCACAACCCTGGGATGCATATCATCTGGCCCCATAGACTTATATGCATTCAGTGACATGAGGTGGTCTCGGACTTGTTCTGCTGTTACAGGGGGAGGGATCCCGCTCCTCTCAGCCTCACCTAGAGGTTCAGGGTCCTGACAGACATGGGAAGCCTGGCCACCAGTGAGGACTGAGGCAAAGACTTTGCTTCAGTCTTCAATAGATGTGATGTCCCTGGCCCAGCATCTCACAGGCTTCACTGCTCAGCAAGGGAAGTAGAGTTTGAGGTCTTTTGTGTTAGACCTTTTCCCTCTCTCCCTCCTCCTTTTTTCCTTTTTTCTTTTAAAGGATTGGATCCACATCTGGTTCAAGAGCCATGGTTTGCTTCCACAGAGCCTTTTTGGTATCTTTAAGATAACTGTGGCTTTCTGACGTGTTTGTCTTTCTCTGCCTGTGATGAAGTTTTCCTATGCTCTACAAGCTAATGCTGTCTTTGAATTCAGGGTTCACCTTCTTGATGAGAAGGCAGGATTAATGACTTAAATATTTTTTGGGGGTTTTTTTGTTTGTTTGTTTGGGTTTTTTGTGGTTGTTTTGGGGTTGTTTTGGTTTGGATTAGTTTGGTTTTTTGTGTGCTGTGGCTTTTTTCCACTAAGCTTTATCACCTGCATGTACTGATTCCACCAAAGTCTGACCATTCCCCATTCCTGC